TACTTTTAGGAAGCGAACACTTGTCAGATTCACTGTTCTTACTATAATACGCCTCAGAATTATCAGAATTATCAGGATCAATAGCCACTTTAAATTCTTTTACTAAGTCTAGCGTTTCGAGTATCAATATAAAATGGTCCGCAATATTTGACACTATTTTTTCATGGGAGTCACACGTAGTAATGATAAGTCTGCTTTGCCGTATTCCACATAATAATCTAAAAACATATACATGTGTGTATATGTATATATACACACATATTTAGTATATAGTTAATACTCTATAAAAATTATAATCTCGAAAAAGATAAATAGAAACAGAATGTTACTGATCAAATGACTTCTGCATTTCACTTGTTAGTAGTGATACCGTTAATAATATCCACTGATCAATATCGGTATCGATAATTTCATTAGTTATATCGCTCAACATCGAAAAAACATTATTGCCGCCAACGAGGATAATAATATCCTTTTCTTTGTTTAGTTTCATTAATGCTTTCTATATATAAACATAATTTATATAAGTCATACATTAATCGTACATGTAATGTGCATGCGCGTATGCGTGAAAGCATATGCAAGAAAGGTATTTAAAAACCTACAATATTTATAGAAGTTACCTTTATTTTCTCTTTATCACGTTTTACAACGCTGAGATGGAAATCTATATCCTTTATACCATTTTGTAGTTTACTAACCATAGCTTGTAATGACTTATGAATCTTAACATCTCTTTTTAAGTGATTCATTACTGAATAGTATAATTAAATTATTTAAAAAATTTTTTAAGAAGTATGGTGTGAATCAATATTACATGAAATTATTATAATAATTAAATATACGCGCGTGTACATTTGGAATCATTTTTAATTTCTATATATACATTTAAACCTATATGTATATATATTTATTATAAAAAATATAAAATATTTTGTTTTTATTAATTAACTTTTAAACATATGTTATGTGTCATGCTAAATGAATATACGTACCACCAAGAATCACGGCTGTTGCACAGGTCATTTCAATTTTTTTCATCATTATTTTTTATTAAATTCGTAAATTCGTATCTTTTATTATTCTCGTTTTCTATGTTTGATGTTGACCACCTCGTTCGCTAACTGACTTTACTTTGTCTTCGATAAAGCGATCAAATTTCAAAGGTACGAATGTGTTTATGTTTCTTTCTTTTCAAAATATTTCTTAAAACTGCGGCCTTATTGTTTTTATTTTAAATACGTGTTGTGTAGTAGATCTTTTTGTTTACGGACTTTATCGGCTGTAATTCTATTGGGAAGAAATTTTGCAAAATATTGTGTTTTTTCATTAAGGAAAGCAGTGAGTTTATTACATTACATTATATCGATAGAATTGCAACAGAAATTAAACAATGTTTGCAGAATGACAGATTAGAGTTGCAAAAAATGAACCTAGATTTGACGGCACATCTGATGTTTTGTAATTATCGAAATTATTTGATACGTGAAAAAAAAATGAAATGCTCAAACCATCTCTTATTTAACTAGATATAAGTGAAATATATGTGTAACTATAATAAGTAAATTTTATAAATATGAAAAAGTAAAAGTGTTTTTTAAACAAAATGTTAATTATAAAGTTTGTGGTTTGTCGCCGTGTCTTTCCTTATTATTGATGCCAACGTTTCGTGAACCAGTGGCTGATACAGAGCAGCGAAGCTGTTGTAATCATCAATCTCTCTCTCTCTCTCTCTCTTTCTCTCTCTCTCTCTCTCTCTCTCTCTCTCTCCTCCCTCTCTCTACACGAACATATATCGAAGTAGGAGAGGGTCACTTTGGACACTTATTATAAATTTAATGAAATAAATAACCAATTTATTCATCTTGAAAATCGATAATTTATTACGAAACCTCCAAATCATATTGATTTTAACTCTGTACTTTCTGATCTTTAACATTTCTTTAAACAAGGTGTATAGAGAGGGAGAGGGAGAGGGAGAGGGGGAGAGAGAGAGAGAGAGACAGATTGATTGATAATTATTATCGCTTCGCTGCAAACCGTCATTCTCCTGCCGCGAATTCGTCAGTTCCACTCCGCCTTGCTACATCCCTGTTTTCCTTCTGTAAGATCAATCGGAAAGTTTTGTCCATTCTTTTTCTTGCAAAGAGTATGATTGCAAAGAGTATATTTTATTTAAGAACCAGAATAAAAAAGTACATCAATCAAAATATTGTCCATCATTAGCAATTACTTTTTCCCATCTTTCGGGCAGCAAGCGAATCTATTTTTCGATATCTTCATAAAAATTGAAGCGTTTTTCTGTAAGTGCGTTTGCCATCGACCGAAACAAGTGTTAGTCGGAAGTGACACGGTCTGGTGAGTAAGCCACATGGAGTAGCACTTTCCAGAGAAATGCTTCCAATGTTTTCTTAACAGCCTTAGTGACATGAGGTCGAGCGTTGTCATGAAGCAAAATCACTTTATGCTGTCTAGTCTCATATTTTGGCCGTTTTTCATGCAATGCTCGGCTCAAACGGATTATTTGTTCTCGGCAGAGATCTCCTGTGACTGTTTGATTTCAACAATTCATGGTACACTACACTCTTCTGGTTCCACCAAATACAGAGCATGACCTTCTTCCCATGAATATTATTGCGTTTTGGCGTCGATGGTTGGCCTGGATGAAAATGGATTTTCGGTGTTTGGGGTTATCGAAATAGATCCACTTTTCATCGCCAATCACAATTCGATGCAAAAATCCTTTTCTTTGTTGCCTAGCAAACAGAATTTCGCAGATGGTTTTTCGCCTTTCAATGTCTCTTGTCGCTTCAGTTTATATAGAACCTATTTTCTTTCCTTGTAGACCTCTCCTAAAGCTTTTAAACGATCAGAAATAACAGATTGAGCACAATTTAATACTTCTGCAAGTTGTTTTTGCGTTTGACATGGGTCTTTATCCACCAAAGCCTGCAATTCTTTGTCTTTAAATGCTCTTAGCCGTCCAGAACGCTCTTTGTCCTCCACATAAAAATTACCACTTTAAAAGTGTCGAAACCATTCTTTGCATGTTTTATCGGAAGGAACACTATCACCATAAACTTCTACAAGCATTCGATGAACTTCAGCTGCAGTTTTCTTCCATTTAAAACAAAAGATTAACACTTTGTGCAAATGACGTTTATTGGCTCAAATTTCGACATTTTCGATGCAGTAAGAAATATTATTGCTGCAAACATATACTTTTATATTTTGAATTTTATTGATAGTAAAACTACAAAATTAAGCTTGATTTAGACATTAGAGTTGTCGACAGTTCCAGCTATAGATACTCGCCGCTAGATAAACGGAACTTTCCGATTGACCTAAATATTCGAGCGCTAATACGTTAACTTTAACATTGTATAACAACGAACTGGAGGTTCAAATCAAAAAATAACTTAGGACTTTTCTGTTTGAATTTTTGTCCTGTATCTTATGGTATGTTCCATATACATTTTTTTAGTTACACCCTATATATATTTTAAAATAACCTTTAAATTTAAATATTACTTTCGCGTTATTCGATATATTAACGAAATTGTGTGGGTAAAAACCGCATGTTATTCATTTCCAAGTTACATACCTCGTATAAAAGAATTATAATTTCTAAGATTTGTAATTAGTATTGATTATAGTTGTATTAATCGCATATTAAAATATGTCACTATTATGCTTTACATCAATTATTACTGAAAATAATTAGTAAAAAGGTATGCTATCATTAAAAAGATTTTCAAATGCTATATCATTATACATACATAACATCGCGTAATGTGAAATAAAGTTATGTTAAAAGAAAGAATCATTATATATGATTAGCAAAGAATATAAAATTTTTTGGAAATTCAATTTTTCTTAACGAAAAAATAACCAGAGAACAGTACACTATATACACACTATAATACACACATATGATACGTACATTCACATGTATATACGTATATATTTACGGGTACTATATACAGGATGTTTGAAAAAAATACTGTCGGCGGTCTGCATTTGACGGTATGCCGGGTGAATTTGGATGTTTTTATAAATTAATATCTCGTTAACTATTGCAAAAATTGTAAAATTGTAGAAAACTTTTCTTCTCTCTCTCAGTTTAATCTATTCTACACCTATGCGATAAATTTTTCATTACATCTCAAATACCCTGTATATAATATTAATTACAATATACTATTACAATACATATAATATGAATACTATTTATAATTTATAATATTATTTTGATGATATACATATTGCATATATAAAAATATAATATATATAACATATATATCATAATATTAACATTATTACATAATATAAATTCCAAACATTTAATTTGCATAAGCTATTCTACAAAAATTTTTTTACCAATTATATTAGAAGTAAAATCAAGCAAAAAGAAAAATTCTACTCTCTCGTTAATTAGTAAAAAGAGAAAAAACTTCAAATTAAAGAGTGATTGAGTTAGTCTTTAATAGAAATTTAATTCGCGAAATTATTATAATTAAATTGTAGAATGGTAAACTTTTGAAAATTTGGACAAATATTACGATCCCTTGATATTTTCGCTAATAAAAACTTTTATCGTATTTAGTAGTATATAAAACAATATCAACGAAGTAATTTTCGATTTCTTTCAGCCAATTTTGCGCAATACCTTACGTATGCATGTTCTTTTTACAATGACGTGATTATATTATTCAAGGTCGGTTGTGTGTTCAAGAACTTTTCAATAAATTTTACGCGTTAGATAAATAGCAAGATTACTCAATCACATGAGTGGTCTAACAATTAATTAACGCGTAAAATTTACTGAAGGATGAAACAAAACGGACGCTTTTATATCTTAATAGCTTAATCTAATTCAAATATTATTTAAACGTAATATAATTATATCATTATAATCATAACTCGATATAGTCAAATAACTACGTAAATATATGCGAATAACGTTTGTCCTGCTGGTTAATCGAGAACTTGGAGATTTTTCAGTGTCTGATAAATATCGCTGGTAAAAATCGCGAGTCCGCTTTTAACTCAGGCACGTTCGACGTGTGCTTCGGCAACATTAGAAGCGCATTACTTAATTGATATTGCATCATGTACTGATTTTCAACATCCACGTTGTGCGCACTTGGATATGTGATTAGTTCCTTCTCCAGCCATTGTAAGAATGTAAATGAAAGTCTCGGACGTGTATGCAGCTTGTAATCTGTTTTTATCTGTAACGTTACAATAACGATCGATATTATCTCTCGTAAAAAAGTACTACTAGCGTCACTATTAGTGCAATATGCAGAAGTAAATTCGCAAAAAAAAAATAATATATAAAAAAATTTTGATTAAAAGTACGAAATGATTAAAATAATTGATTAAAACCGATTTTTTAATTCAAATTTGTATTAAAATAATTTCCGCAAATGCGGGAATGCGATTACTGTAAATTGCACTACTCCCAGTAGTGATACTATTAGTGCCACTAGTAGTAAATTTAATACTGCACTTCTATACTACTAGTCACGAGCAGTGTTACTACTGATTACTACTCGTACCAACAGTGACACTACTGTATTTACAGTAGTGATACTACAGCACTAGCAGTGACACTAGTAATACTTTTTTACGAGGGATGAATCTGCGTATATATCTTCACGTATGAAGGGTGCAAAAAAGAAGACGAGTCTTACCCAAGTTTGTATCTTCACATGATCATTGTCTACATTATGCTGTAACGTCTCCAGTAATGGCAGAAGAAGTACATGAGTTACAGTGGTTACGGTTGCTGGGTTTGCCGACATACATAGGAAATACTTTTTCTTCTCGTTGAACTCACACGTTGCGAACGTTGTCGATTTTCCCGGTTTTATATTCACGCCACCTGAGTCAGAAAAAGAAATGTAAAAAGATGTGTGACTTTGCAGCGTATTATACTGATGATTAAAAGAAGAAAAAAACATACCGAAATGTATCGTTGCGTTAATTTCTGTTTTGTCTGTTAATGCGGGCTTCACTGTATCTCTGTCGTTCGCTTGGCCTATTATCACGAGTAAGTCAACTTGGTTCAAAGCGTCCTTGATTTTGTCGTAGATAGTAAACAGTCTGCAAGAATATGATCGTTAAATTAGATCGTTAATTAAGAGCGGCGATGAATTACTCATTCGTAAATCAAATCGAGTCTTACCGCGGTTAGAGGAATCGCAAAAAAATTTTTATTGTACTCACTGATTACGCGAAATTTCAAAATCGACAGGATTACAACCATTGTTCTTCAATAACGAAGACACAACTACCTTGTTGCAGTCGTAGATGTATTTTAGATTTGTAGGTTCTGATTCGTAACCGCGGATAGATAGGATACCTACAGATGGAAGTTTAAAGACTTTAATTGAATCAATGTTACATAATGTCAAAATACCCAGTTCCGCTGCTTCAATACGTTTATGTGATTTTATAATAACGTCATCGGTTTGTATTTCGCAGCCAGCGTTCCTTTGAAAGTAAATTAATTATTTTACAATAATATAGAACACAAAACGGTCCTTTAAGAAACATATTAAACGGTATCGAACTATTTCTTCGTCTACCTAATATTTTCATCATCTTTTGGAGTGACTAAGACCTCAATTTCATATTCCTTGCTATCAATATTAAAATAATCGTCATCATTATCGGATTCTTCTATTATCTTTGTGTTGGCAGACATCACAACCGCCGTTGCTCCTATATAATCACGAATAAAAGCAATAATTAATCTATCATAGATACGTAACTGTAATATACAATTGTAATTGATTTTACCATTGGGTACGGGATCTCCACTTCTTACTCGCACGCAAGTGCCAGGTACGACTGAAATATCTTCAGTTAACTAAAAAAGAAGCAGTGTTTTCTGAAGATTTGACTTCGGCAACTAAAAACTTCGATTAACTACTTATTCGACATCTAATTCAGTCAACAGAATTGTTTCCTGTAAAATTTCTGACCGCACAATTTACCGGCAGTGATTTCTAATATTTTGTTCCACACGTCTTATATCTATTTCTACCAATGTAGATTAACTTTAATCTCGGGTTAATTTTTATCTTCTTCTAGTTTAAAAAAAAAGACAAAAGGTAAGTTAAAATTAAATTAATCTACATTGGTAAAAACGAGCATTAAAGAGACAACATGGAAAAGATAACACCACACGTCTTAGCAAAATCACGCGAGTTGTTATACTTGTTAATTGAAGTTTGTCCTTACCTCGAGATTTGCTTTCAACACTTTTCTGACAGCCTGCCCGTCACTAGCCACCACTGCGTATCCATGTTTAGCGGAAATACGACAAGGAGGCACGTTTACAGAAGAACGAACGTCGTCGACCACCACTCTACCGTAGGCATCTTTCATTTGTACAGTTTCTTTACATTGTTCGTTATCTTCACATTCTTCATAATCTTTATTTATTACTTTTAGCATTATATTTCTTGCCTCTTCCAGTGACACCAGTTCGTATTTCTCATAAGACCCTTCGTCTGTAAATTCAGTTTGCTGCAAAGAGAATCGATTACAATTTGTATGTATATGCATTCTGGCCGAAATTTGCTTTATTGCTCCGAGTGAGAAAGATATATTTTACCTCTTCGAAGGCATCGTCGTCGATATCCATAGACTCCCCAGAATTATTATCATTATCTTCATTATTATCATTATCTTCATTATTATCATTATCTTCATTACTATCATTATCTTTATTATTATCATTATTGTTATTCTTAAGTGACTGATCAGCATTGTCATCTTTACTATTATCGTAGGATGATTTGTCAAAATTCTCAAAACTGATATCCTTAAATGATTCATTAGAAATATCTTCATTACTATTACTCTTATTACTATTATTATAAGATATTTCTTCAGAATTATTAGTATTATTGTTATTATTAATATATTAGAATTACTATTATTATCGTTATTGTTAAGGGGATACTGGAGCCGCCTGTATTACCGATAAAACTAGCGTTTTTGACGTTTTCGTTCATGTCTAATTTCTTCGTAATGGAATAAGAAATTCACAGAATAAGAATTTCTTTTGTACGATTTAAATATTCAGCAAATACTAGAATCTTTTTACGACCGTACAATTGATAAACAATAATAAACAAGAAGAAGGAAGCCAATAACGGTCAAAGCTGGATCATAGTGCTTATTATACCTAATTGTGTGAATTTTATATACTACTTAAATATTCAGGCTAATAAACCTGCCCCTGGTGTGTCCAAAGCTGGCAAAAGTATGAAATCATAGATTTCTTTATCCATTTAACCTCAGTATGGCGACCAACGATAAAAATGGAATATGAAGATAAAAATGGATAAAGTAATCTGTAATTTCATATTTTTTCTAGCTTTGGATACAATAATATAGATCAGGAGTAGATACATTAGCATGAATATTTAAATCCTGGAAAAGGAATTTTTATTTTGCGAAACTATTATAAAGAAATAAGACAGGAACGAAAACGTCAAAACCGCTAGATTTATCGATAATACAGGCGGGTCCGGCATCACCTTAAGTGACTCAGAAGAATTATCTGCCATTGCTATATCACAAAAACTACCTGCCTCTGGTATATTATAATCTTGCTTAGTTAAGACTAATATATCCAGTATCAAGGAGCCATTTATTGTCAAAATTGGTTCCACATTCGTGTAGGAACCAAACACATTAATAACAAGATTGCTTTCTAGTATTCCACAAATCGGCCTGAGAACACATTAGAACTGTAAAAGCTGTAATTTTGAAAACCGCAGTATAAATAAAAACAAAATTTTACCGCTCAATTAACTTTAGTCCCTGTGTTAAGTCTAATATCAATTTGTTCATGTCACTAGAGATCTGGTCATTGATAACTTTTTTAATCGCCTCATGTATATTACTCGAAATAAGTGCAGATTTCTTTATTCGAACTTTCGCCAAATTTCTACTCGAACTTTGACCAATTAAGATAATAACAGATCCTCTAAATCTTTTGCCGACAGCAATTAATTCGGCCTTTATAGAACATAAATTATATAAATTTACATATATGTAAACATGTATACGCGGACGCGTGAGAAAAGTATTAAAAAAGTTATTTATAGAAGTTACCTCTATTGCCTTTTTATCATATTTCAAATATTTGAGAAGAGCCACGTGTCCTCCTAATTCGTCTATACAGTTTGTTACTTCATCATTTGACGGTCGATTATCATCGGATTGTTGTACTACATAAGTATAATTATGTATATATAGAATAATATTATTAGAATACTTTTTTAAAAAGTATAAAATTCAATTTAATATTATACAAAATTACTAATAATCGAAGATGCACGTACATATGAATGTGTGTGTGTGTGCGCGCGCGCGTGTGTATGTAAAATTATTTTTGATTTTTAAACATATTTTACGTCTGATAGCTTTGAAGAAATCGTAAATATGTAACTATGAAATATTTTGTCTTATTAATATATATGTTTAATCATACAATATCTTGTAAAATAAATATACATACTATCTAAAATGATGAACCTTAGAGACATGTTGATCTTTTAATTCTTTTTTAATCTCGTGATTGCAAAGTTTTTATTGTTCTTGTCTCTTGATTGCGACCACCTCGATCATTAGCTGACTTTACTTTGTCTGTTCGACAGAGTAATGGAATTTCAAAAGCCGTATGAAAAGTGTTTATATTTCTTTCTCTCTCCAAAATGTATTTAAGTTAAGTAGGACGCTGTAACCCGTGATGATTTCGTTTTGAACGCTTATCTCGTGGTAAATCTTTAGCTTATAACTTTGATAGGTAATTCTGTTTAGAATAAATTTTTTGTGAAATATTATATAAGTTTTAAAAAAAACAACGTTTACCACAATATAAATCACAAGATAAATCATATTGGTGGAATTGTAACAGAAATCAAACAAAATCTACTAATAAAATCTGCTAATAATCGAAATTTAATGCAGATTTGACGACATATATGCTCTTTCATAGTCATCTAAATTATTTCTGTTCTTTATTAAAATCTAACTATATTACTTATTACAAAATATAAAAGAAAAAAAAAACAATATAAACTGTTTACTATTTAATTAAATATAATTGAAATAAACGTAATAGATAGACGTAATAATAGTAAATAAAATAATTGAATATACGAATAAATAAATAAGAATAAGTAATAGAAGTTTTTTAAACTTAATATAATAATTATATACAGAATTCATATGCTGTATATGATTATGTGCACTCATAATTATGTATAACATATAATTCTCATACTTGTGCATATGTATGAATTTGAATTTTATTAAATTTTTTTTCGTACAACAATTACATATATTCAGTGCATTTATGCAAGAAAAATTTATTTTAAATTTGCTAAGTTTCTTGCTAAAAATATTTAGTAATTTTGAAATATTTATATAAATGTATTTATTTAAATCATTGGGTCTGTTTTCTGTTCCTGCACTAGACTGCGAACTAGAACTCTCTTTCTCGCTTTCTACAATAAATATCAAACATACACCTATCTCACTTTAAGTTCTAAAAGTGTACACTAGTTCAGCCACAGAAAACAGACCTATTAACTTATGTGTACATCAAAATATTTTCTTTTAATAATAGATAATTTAAAAAAAAGTGATTTTAAATGATTTCGTCAATAATATTTAACAATTATTTTTATCACATTAATATATAAATATTTTTTAAATCATTATACGTATCTTAAAAAGTGGCCATACGATTTGTAAAAAAATTTCTAAAGAACTTTAATTTCAAGTCAAAATAAAAATTTTTATTATATTCATTCTTTACAGAGAAATTAACAAATAGAGTGTATCGAAATTATTAATAAGCGGTATATATAAGACATTACTATTACAATATGCATTATAATGTATAATGTTATACATATGTATTGCGATATTTTGAATCTGAACATTATTGAATAATATTAATTCCAAAAAATTATAGTTTGTATAAGTTATATCACACAATGATTTTTTGCGAATTATATAGTAAACGTAAAAACAAATAAAAAACAATCTATAAATTATACTCGCCCTTTAATTTAAAAAAGAGAATAATAATTTAAATTCAACTGAAATAGAATTTAATTCGCTAAATTGTTACTATTAAATTGTGAAATGATACCGTTTGAAAAGTTGAGATAAACGCTCTTTCATTGTCTTGTTAAAATAGAATTTTCTTTGTATCAATGTATGTCAAATAACACATTTTCAAATTTATTTTTGCCAATCGTAAGCAATATTTTACAATATACCTATACTTGTTCTTCGTATCAGTGTGTGTCAAATAACACATTTTCAAATTTATTTTTGCTAATCGTAAGTAATATTTTACAGCATACCTACTTGTTCTGTTTATTTATACAAAACTAATATATTTCAGTTAAATCTTACCCTAATAGCACAATTATTGATAAAATAATGATCCAAAAAATCTCAAATATATCCTCAATACACCATCAATATACTACAAAGGTATTATATAATTGAAATATATAACTTTAAATGTATATTATATAACACAATTATAATATTTATAATGTGGCAATAATTAACTGCAATATAATATAACTAAATAATAATGTAAATGTATACGAATGTCTTGTTGATCAATCAAGATAATATAGAGATATTTCAACAGTGATTATTTTCTGCCGAAAAACATTGCTTGAACGAATGCCGAGTGTAACTCCGGCATCTCCGACGTGTGCTTCGGCAGCATTAGAAGTGCATTAGCCTTTTGATATTTTATTATATTCCGATGTTGACTTTCTGAACAATGAGCCCTTGGAAACGTCTCCTTTTTCTCCCATTGCACAGTCGCCCATGAATATTTTGGACGCACATGCAAATCATGATTTTCTACCTGTAAAGTTACAACAGCATCGTATTAATAAGTACATCTCTTACTGTATGCGTGATGAAGGAAGACGAGCCCTTACGCAAGTATGCAGAACGATAGACTTTGTTAAGAAATTGCAATGCATCTCGTTTAGAAGCGGCAGAAGTAATACATGCGCAATAATGGGAACGGTTGTTGGGTTTGCCGACATGCACAAGAAATATTTCTTTTTGTTCTTATATATGCACGATGCAAATGTTGTTGATTTCCCTGGTTTCATGTCCAAGCAACCTAAAAAAGAAAAAGCATTGCTCGTGCAAAGAGACACGTGTCACACTATAACATATTAGACCGACGATTAATATAAGAAGGAAGAATATACTGAAATATATTATGGCGTTAAAATATTCCTTTAAAATTGGTTTTAATATATCTTTGTCGTTTGAATGACCCGTTATCACAAGTAGATCTACCTCGTCCAAACTGGCTTCGATTTTTTTAACTATGTCGTTCAACCTGCAAGAATGTGATCGTTAAATTAAGAGCTGTAACAAGGTTAATTATTCACAAATCGTGTTACGGTGGTTAAAGGAATCACAACGAATTTTGAAAGCATTTACTTGTAAGCAGAAGTTCCAAAGTCGATGGAATCGTATCTATTCTCTTTCAATAATGACGTCAGAAATATTCTATTACTGTCTGCATAGGGGCGTCCTAAAGTATTTTCAAATCCTTTCGATTCGTTACTAATAGATAGTAAACCGATAGATGGAAGTTCAATGACTGGAACTGAATCCAAGTTACATAATGTCAAAATACTCAGTTCCGCCGTACCGATACGTGTGAACTTTCGGAAAACAAGTTGGTGACACTTTATTTCGCAGCCAATGTTTCTTTAAAAATAAACAAATTGTTTTGTGATAATAAAACAAATCGTGCTTTAAGAGGCGCATTAAACAATAAATCGAATTATCTTCGTCGTATACCTAATATTCTCGTTTATTTCTGGATTAATCGAGATCCTAATTTCGTATTCCAGATCGTTCTCACTAAAATAATCAGTGTACACACATTCTCCTAATATTTTTACATTCTCTGGCTTTACTACTGCATTTGCTCCTGCAATCGCGAATAAAAGTAGTAATTAATTTAAACAAGTTTAATTTGCAATTGTAATTATTTTTACCTTTGGGTATGGGATCTCCACTATCTACTCGCACGCAGGTGTCAGGTTCAACCAACATTTTGTCGGGCTGGAAAAAAGATGTTTGGTGCAAATCTAGCTACAATGCCTAAATTCCATCTAATTTAATTGATTACTAATTTAAGAGAATTATTTTCTGTATAAAATTTAATTCTTTTAAATTGTCTTCTGAATAATTCACTTCTAGTGATTCCTAATTTTTGTAATACTCTTTTGATAACGTGGAAAAATTAATAAACCCATCCGCGTCCTATAAGCAAAGTCATGCTAACCATCATGCGTTAACCATCAGATTTTGGCCTTACCGTGTCTACTGTTTTCAACACTTTTCTTGTTTCTTTCTCACTTGCCAACAACGCGTATCCATGAATAGTGGAAATCTTACAATGTGGCACGTTTCTGAGGGAATATACATTTTTGGCCAGTATTCTGCCGTAGGCATCATTTATTTTCACATATTCTTCTTTTGTACATTTGTCAGCACGTACCGTAATACGTATTATATTTAGTGCTTTATCTACCGATGTTACACCACTTTGCTCTTGTTTCTTGTAAATTCTGTTCTCTATGTCCGATTTATCTTTCTGTAAAGAAAGTCAGTTACGATTCGCGTGTACGCAGTCTCGCAAAAGTTTATTTTATTACTCACGAACGTGGAAGATATTTTACCATTTCATTTTTGGAAGTGTTATGCGAACTCACCTTATCAGTATCATCATCAGAAGATATCTCACCAGAACTATAATTTTCGTAATCATAATATTGTTTAGTGTTATACGAGGTCACCTTATCAATATTATCATCAAAACATGACTCATCAGAACTATAATTTTTGATACCATAATATTGTTTCTTAACTTTTTCTAGTTTATTTCCCGTAATTATCACATACATTATTTGTCTTATTAGCATATGATTTTTCTTCAAACCTAATATTGAAGTTGTATAAGGGCCGCACGTATTAATGATCAATGTCTGGTTTCGTACACCACATATAAATCTAAAAATATATTAACAGATTGTAAAAACTGTAATTTAAAAAATGGCAGAATTAAAAAAAAATTTTACCGATTAAAAAGATTCGTTAGTTTCTTCATTAGCTTTGATATCAATAAGTTTACAGATTTTGGGTTATTATTATCCATGACTTCTTGAATCGCTTCATTTGCAATGTTACTTAATGTCGAATAAACCGAAGTTTCGCCCATTATAATAATAATATCGTCTTCATTTTCATTGCTCACAGCAATTAATTGCGTCTACATATAACATAAATTATGTAAATTTATGTAAATACGTTCACGTGTACTGCATGCGAAAAAGGTTACTTAAAAATCCATCTATAAAAATTACCTTTATATCCTCTTTATCACACCTCTCAATATGATCGATCGAATGCAAATCTCCTATACAATGTAGGCTGCGTTGTAGTGGAAGAAATCGAGCAATTAATGCATTACTTTGTGGTCCCACTATGTAAGCACACACAATTAGAATAAAATTATTACAATATATTTTTGTATAAAAAGTATAGGGATATCAATTAAAATATTACAAAAATTAGTTGATTATTAATAATCAAAGATACTCGAAAGATAAGGCGCGCGCACGCGTGTGTGTATTTGAAATTATTTTTAATTTTAAAACAATTTTGTTTTATCTATTTATCAAAAATTAGATTTTGTTAATATCTATTTTTAAACGTATAATGTATGTTTTGCAAGAATATATAATACATACCAGATAAAATTCTGATTGAAGCCATTTCAATTACTTGTTCGCGAATTTAACTTTTATTGTTCTCGTCTTCAACGTTTGATGTCAACCACCTCGTGCGCAAGCTGATTTTGCTTTGTCTATTCGGTAAAATAATTTAATTTCAACAGCCGTACGAAAATGTTTATATTTCTCTCTTTTCAAAATACTTGTTATGTGAAACTGTGGTCTGCGTGTCGAATTTGTTTTGATCGTGTATCACGAGTAAATCTTCGCGCTCACAATATTAACAGCTAATTCTATTGAAAATAAATTTTGCAAGTTCTTTTTCTATAAAGAAAGCATCAATGTCTATTACATTAAATCCAAAGCTTCTTAACATAATTAGGGTATCCGTTAAGATACGTTGCTTATTAATTATAGTGAAAATTTAATTTTCATAATTATATTTTTTAAATCAATGTCCACTTTAGACTTGGAAACTTGTAGAGTGACTTATTCTTGATGGATTACCAAACTATGTCCTGATTATAATTGTTTGCTGATGAAGATTCCAAAGAGAGTCAAAACATTCAAAACTTTATTCAAAGTCTTGACTAAAGAAAACATTGCAGAATGTAATGAAGTAATATAATCATATTAATATTGTGTACTCTCTCTAGCGTTGAATAGTCTTAAATTTATTATTGTTATATTTTAAGAAGTGAAAGTTCTGTTAAAATATTTTATTGTCCATTGCATTAAATGTTCTGGCAGAATTGCAACAAAAATTAAACAATATTTGCAAAATGATAGATTAATGACAAAAAACAAATTATAAATCCGACGGTACATTTGCCATCATGCATAAAGAAATAATCGATTCTGTCAAAGAATTTGTACCAAAAACACATTCAATTAAGTTAGTTTTGAGAAAAGTTTGTTTGAATCGTATGGATTAGATTAAAATATTGATCAATACATTAAATATTTTTCTTTTCTGTCAGAATGATATTAAAAGATAGAAGTATTTTGATAGAAGTACATGAAATAATAAATGAATTGCAGATTTATCTCGCGAATAAGTTATTATAGTTTAATTTGTCGTTAAACTAATAATATATCGAATCGTTGGGTATGGAAAACATTCTATAGTTTTTACAATTTTAATTAATTTTTCTCATTAGAAATTGTTACCTTTTCGTACGTATCGTCAATTTGAAGAAACCCAATAAATCGTTAATATTTTTCTCTTTTTTTAGAGGATCCTAAAGTCGTCTGTATTACCAACTAAACCATATAATTTTTGTATTGTGTGTGTAAATACATTTTTTGTCATTCGCAGATTAAAAAATCCTTTTCCAGGATTAAAATATACGCGCCTTATTATTAATATGTGCCTGTGAGATAGAATCTATGCTGAAAACGATCAAAAAATTTCGAAATAGAGTTCTACTTTACCATTTCTTAATCCAATTGTCACGTCGTTACACATAGTGACAATATTTATTTAATACATATAAGCCATATTTATCTGTACTTACGAAATAGTAATCCACAGGCAAATAGTTTTCATGAAGAAACAGCGTGGGATTCTTAAAATTGGATTTAGATGTCTAATTAAAACGTAATTACGATACGAAAATTTATGTACATATGTGGCGTGCGTGAGTGAGATATTGATGTAGTGATGTGTTAATGACACGTAATCATTTGTATGTAAATGCTATTATTTCCAATATGACTAATCGTCTTTAGGATCTCCTTAAAGGTATATACATGCATTTTCTTGTAACTTATATAATATGATATGAAATTTCCAAATGTGGCATAGGAATCGGAACATGCGGCAGTGACTTTTATGATCGTAAGGTTGTATTATTTTCAATTTTTATATTTTAATTATCGTAAATCAAGTTGGTACAGGATATGTGATAGAGTTTATTTAATAAAAAGGTTAGTCCCACTTTGGGGCTATCTACAAGAAGATTCGGCTATAAAGTTTTCAATGTAAATAAAAGGTTCCTGCTCTTCGTTATCATGTCGTATCCTTTATCCTCTCAATGCGACCGACGTTGAAATCGCACATGCACACTCACACTTTTAATTACAATAGTTAATTGCTTGAAAAAATATATTTTAATCCTTAACCAGCACAATGGGTCCTTAAGCGAGTAGTTCTAAAAGCGACTTACATCTAGTTACAACAGCAGCGATAAATTATGGATATATATTAAGTATGCCATTATCGAGAATGTTGCTTGATTATTAGCTAATCTCTTATCGAGATTTAACTTATTCATCTTTTGTCTCTACTTTCCTCTAATTTAAAGATACGTAATTATATTTTCAAAGTTTTTGAATTCTTGTATTCCCTTTTGGGATCGTAAAAAAATCTATTCGATTAAATATATCAAATTAAAGATTAGGTTTCTCTCTCTCTCTCTCTTTCTCTTTCTCTTTCTATTCGTTCCAAGTATGATGATTAAAACAAATAATATATTCTGAACTATGAAAATACATTTTTTATGCTCTAATCACCACGTTCTTTTATAAAACCAATTATTTAATAGATTTAATAGGAATCCACAGTGAGCGAGATTCAAGAGTTAATTACCCGTCGTCATATCAGATGCATAACTTCACCATACTGATTAAGGAATAATGATCGGGTTTCTGCTCTTGTTGTTGATTATAACGGAACGTGCAATACGATATGTTCGTAAACCGAGAGTGAATCGGATATCGTATATTGTATAGAGTACAGATATATACATATCTGCCATTCTACCAAGAGCTTTAAAGCTAAAACCCCTAAAGTTAGATTCGATAAAATCACAGGTTTAGAATTTATAATGTGTCACGAATTGACTTCAACTCTATATTTTCATTTATGTCCACGGAGTAATTACACCGAGATGCCCTCCTTATTTTCTTACCCTCAGTCGTAAAAGCGTGATTACGGACGGCGAGGATTCTGTTTCTTCTTTCTTTTTCTTCTCTCCCTTTTCCCGACCCGATAAGTGTAGAGAGATATTTACATGCAAATATACATCGAATTGGAGGAATGCGAACATAGTTAGGTGCGCTTCTCGGCCGCGTTGTCGTTTTCGAGGACAGGAAAGACCGACAGCATCGTTGTCGCGTGTATGATCGTAATGATCGTCGTTGATCACGCACTACTACGTTTGATAAGGTCCTTTAGGCATTTAGGTGCATCGATGATGGAGGGTGCGCATGTATATAAAGATCTGCAGATCTGAGAGGCGAGATGATTTACTATAGACGCTTAACTTTATTAAGAAAATATCAGATTGAAACACAAAAGTTCGTAGTGCTATGAACTTTTGTTTCAACCCAATAGTCTCATAAATCTGTTAAAAAATACCGTTTTTACTTTCTGTGAAAATTGTAAGTTCTTCTCGAGTGATCGCGAGATCCATATTTCTCCCTATTATCCTATTATATAGAATATCAATATTTTAAACATTTTTACATTTCTGATTTGAAGACAGTCGCTATGTCACAAAGGATAATTTACATGCTAACACTTGGTGACGTTATCTATATATTGGCTTTGCCTTCTAAATCGCCTTTGATGACCGAGCATCCTTTATTCACATTCATCACGGAGCTTTCGATTAAGGAACTAGATAGCTGGGATTTACATCATCAGGTAAACACATACAGAGCTTTTCATTCTTGTCCGCACCCTCGATCAAACGAGCACACGATCGCGCGATACACCATTGATCAAAATTTAGATCAATATGATCGGAATTCTAGCCTACATATACAAATATACGTATATATATATATTTTTTTTTTTTTCGTTTATATGTGTGTATACATAATACATACATATAAACAAAAGATGCAGTAACAATAGACGGATACATATCTTTTTTTTTTGCAAAATTACTTAATTCGGGTTTTTCTAAGAACTGCCCTTTCTGTAAGAGAATATGGACTTTTCATTAATTATTTGGTCTCTTCGTTTAAAGCTATAATTATCAATGTTTGGAGGTAATTGAATCCTTCGATTTCTTCGCACGCACACGCGTGTACGTGCGTTTGTGTACGTGATATATGAAGTTTATGCTTTGATCCATTTTTTGCAATCAGTTTATTCACGATATATCAGAGAGAGCGTTTATATTTCTAAGTAATGGCAGATATTTAATACCAGAATTATTGTACGATATTTCAAAATATTGTTTAAATAATGACTTTGAAAGATATCTTTTGCAAATAAAATTTAGAATTTGCAACCAATTTTTTTTTTTTTTTTTTTTCATATTTTACATTTCTGTTTAAAGTGCCCAGAAGTTACCACTTCTACAATTTTATCAAGTACTACAAAGTTATGGCATATATTTCATAAATATTCGACAAATGACTTTCTAGTCGGTTAATTTTATTTCAGAGTAATCAGATATCTCTCAAAAGAAACATGGTTTTTTATTATTTATCTCGTGAAACTTTACAAGCTTCTTTAGTTATAAATTAAGATTTATATCATCACAACAGATTTCGTTTATTTGGTATTATTAAGAATTTTTATACGTCCTCATACTCATTTTTGTAAAGCATATATGTAAATGTAAAGATTAGTATCTCTCATGTTAGAGAGAGAATAGTAAATATTACACGAGCTGTAACATTAAACATTTAAGAAAAGAAGAAAAAGATGTTAATTAAATTACATAAGACACAAATGGATCTTAGCACAGACTTCTTGGTTAGATATCTTTTCATAAAAATAATGCTCTGGTAAAATTGAAACCATTGCCGCCCCCCTTTGTCGATTACTGTGTAGTATGCGAAGTATTTTATAAATACACGTAATTATGTATGCGTATATGTACATATGCGTATATATTTGAGTATATAAGTTTTAGGCGGTTGTCAGCCGCTGGTTCCAAGTCTCCGTATGATTACTCGACACCAAAATTTTGACTGAGAAATTACTTGTTGCAAACATTAGATAACTAACATCACTCATTGTGCAACGCAAGCAAATTATCGTTATTTTTCATTCTTACACATAAGAAAGAATTATTATTTTTAAAAAGTTAACTTTTTCTGCTAGCAAAATTCATTTCTTTAATCCGAGCGGAGAATGAATTATGCAAACTTTTGCATTCATATACACACGATGTAAAATTAATTTTCCAATAACGTACATTCGATTCTAGGTTCACCTTTGCTCGAAAGTTGTATAGTAATTTTTTTTTATACATTTTGGAATAACATTTAAATTCGTTATTATTCGCGCTGCGTTAGCGGATATTTAACTGGAAGTTATACGTCATGTAAGATTTTAAATTTTGAGACGTGTCTTAAGAATAAAAAGCGTCGTCCATGAGTATGTTTAATTACTGTGTGATTTATAATTATCATTTTATGATCGGTAGTGGGATATTTACTCGAGTGTGTTACAAGAGAAAGGAACATACAAGCAGTTTGGTCGCAGCGTCGCAGCCCAGATTAATGGGCGAAATAACGAAGATGCACAATAATTGGCGGCGATCGTGGGAGAGTTAAGATTTCGATTAATAAGTTTTTTCACGCAGTTACGCACATTGTATATATACGCCTATTGTTTGCTCGTCCATACATTGTAACCCGGTTGACACGTGCAACAGAGTTCGTGCGAAAATCCTGGGAAGAGCATAATCTGGGATCATCGGAGCATACTGCAGTTTGGAAATCTATAATAATATATTAAGATATAAAACCTGATATTTAATATCAAGTAACAGCTACTTTAGTGATGGCAAAGTTGAAGAAGTGGGATAGTTCGTTATAATATTTCGATGTATCCCATTTTTTTTTGCACAACTCTCGTCTGATTGAGAAATAGGTAAATAGATAAAATCGAATACTATAATGCTAAGCGTTCAAATCTGGAAAAGTCGTATAGTAAGGCAATGACTAACATTTAGTAAGCCAGATTCCATATCGATATTTATAGTATTTAAAATCGTATGAAATTTATTCAAAATAAAAATTATTTATCGAGAAACTTTTATCCAGGTTACTCTTATTCGTGCTTCTCATGTGACAAAAATATCAATTTCTAAAATAAACTTTTGTATTAGTATTTGCAATTTAACTACATTATTAAATCTTACATTATCCTTATCATTTTGAATATTCGCGCTTTATTAAATCGCAGGTAGAGAACTAGGATTTAATATCGATGTAATATCGATGAGTGAAATAAGATGTATAAGTGTATGAAATTTAATTGATCAGATGTATATACTATTCTTATTAAATTTGTTCGACTCTGCTATTTAAAACTAAAACTAAAATTTAATTGATATTGATATGCAGTCGATCATTAAGTGAGGAACTGGCAGGTTCCGCGATTGTTATGCAGAGCAATTATATTCTATAAAAGTCGTCGTTTGCAAGCAAAAGTAAGAACGTATGATCTGGTTCGATTGGTCCCCGAACTTTACAGTTTGAAAATTACCCGTGCGGCTGCATGGTGATATTAAAAATTTTAAGTATTCGGATATAGAAACTGCATTGTTTTTGGATTATGATATGTACAACGTTGCCTGCTATCTTCATTTACCCTGTAATTACAAATACTATGACGCCTACAAATTTTTTTTCATAAAATGTGGTTAAACAATTAATTACCATAAATAAAGAAAAGTGTCATATTAAAATACTATTAAAAGTCTTCTTTGATTAATAAAATAGTAAGCGCTTAGCAATATTTTAAGTCCCGATGTTAGATATCTTCTAAGATTTTAAGACATAATTAACATTAGAATTATTGCTAAACTAATTTTAGCATTTCCATTCGGTTTAATCTACTTTCAGGAATAAAACAAATCTCCATTTATTTACTCGGTGTATTTAGTAAAATCAGTATTTATTATTCCAAATGAGATTAGATTGCGTTATTAAAGTTAGATAAAATTTTAGTTTGCAATGTGCAATGAATAGAAAAAACAAGAAATGAGAGATTGTAACAAACTGTAAGAGACTGTCAAAACCGGCAGCTATCCTGAATGGACAAGGCAAGGATTAAATAAATAAATAAATAATAAAATGTAATTTTGTAAATTTAACGCATACATTAGCTATACATTCTAATTATCTATCAATGATATCGATGAGTGATGAAACGTTTGATTTACAATCACGATTTTATAATCGTAGCTCCTCCTTTCTACGATGATTGGTCCAGAGACGTGAAGTTGAGAAAGCTATCAATAGCGACGAGGCACGTGCTTCGCGTAGCAGCGATAATAATGGAAAGAAGCCGTGCGGCTTTGCTCTCTAAAATTGACCCGATAAAGCCCTGTCTTACAGAATGCTCCGGATAATCCCTGACAATGCAGAGAATTGTTCTCGCGCGAGAATCTGTTGCACGCATCATTACACAATTGTTCCCACGTTGCAATGAACCCTGATCAGCGATAAAGCCGAAGGGTAAAAAAAAGTCTCAAGATAAATTTCTCTCCCTCCGTAGAGATGGAACCTCGCGGCTCACCCGCGATTAAGTTCCTTATCAAAGGGATATTATCGCGCTTCCGAGTGCCGTTTAAGTGAAGGAATATTCGTAGTCGCGTATAGATAACTGGAAGTAACGATTTCTTCCAAACTCTCGCTTAACATCGTAATTGTATATATAATCAGTATATATAGCCGACTTAATTACACGTGGAGATGGATTAATTATATTTTCTTACATATCTTCTTAGCGTAAAATGTGTGAGATTGTTAAACTCTCTACTATACTATAACATCGCTAATCTTCCCTTATTTATTCCTCTCCTTGTCATCATGTGTCACAGACGTTGATACACGTATAATAAGCTTTCATGCGACATACAACGAGCTTGAGGAGATACTCGGTCGATAATCGAGAGGGTGCTGTCATGAAGTCCCCTACGCATCCATGAAAATTAATCTAATGGCTCGACTCGCGAAGGATCAGAATACGATTCGAGCTCTCAGGCATCTGTGCGTGGAGAACTTTCGCACGCGCAAGTCTTAAATCGTCGTTTGGAAGAGACATGTGGGCAATGCGAAAATATAAATTGATTCTATGAGCAGTAAGCGCACACCTGGTATGTGCGTCAGGGTGCTTCGGATCAGTCGCGCCTTTTCCTCTACGGTCGAGGAATTGCGCGGTCTGCAGGTCCAAGACACATCCCAGGGTGTTCGCTGTATGATGGTATTGCGCAAGTGGTCGAGGTGTATAATTTCGAGTACTCGCGACTGCACATTTATCTTTACTACTGAGGAGATAGGGTAAGCAAACTTGTCCTCGAGTTCATCCTGAGATTACTGCTTCAGCACTCCATGGTGAACAGAAGGCGCGAACTTATACGCTTAAACGACTTTAGCTTGGATAAACATTTCCAAGTTTCGAGGCGTCAAACTTATCCATGGACTAGAAATGTGCGTGTATCACAGACGTTTTGACCTATATAGGTTTCGATAACACTGAATTATTTAGGAATAAACTTTTTTACGTTTGTTCTTGCCTCTCGCTGATTTTTAATGATACCTAAAATTCATTAGCAAGATCATACGCGCGTGACTAACATTGAGATATTCCTTGGAATCATTAAACATATTATATAATAACGATGTTTATTACGACTTTGACAATGTTTTTCGAATATACAAATCTGTATTCGCCGAATGTCAAGTTTATCCTTCATTACTTGCATGTCCAAGACATTTTTGTATTATGAATGTTATTTTTTATACACAATATTATATTAGATAATAAATTATATTAGCAAATTATTCATAAAAATTTAAAGTTAAAAAAAATTGTATTTATCTTTATTTAAAGAATATATATATAAATATTATCAATCTTCATTTTATTGTAAAGTCATTAAAAAGAACAATAAAAATTGAAATCTAATGTTGAAATATCAGAAATACTTCCCATGAACTATTAAAAATATATGAGTATAGTTAAAAACAATATCCACTGCAGATATGTCATGTGGTCCCTTCGTGAATAAAAAAAATATAGAGATATGTATACATTTATCCGAGTGATATAATGGTAAAGATTTTTTAATATGATATATCGTTAATTATAGATTTTTTCTTGCGAGTTAATATCTTTTAATATCAAGTATTTGGATAATATGACAATGATAATAAATATGAAAATAACTTATAACATTTTACTATTTTGAGAACATATCTATTTCGTATTCATCAGTTAAACTGCAATATTTATAACCAATTTTATGATTGGCTTATGATTGAGATATAGTACTTAATGTAATTGCTAAAATAAAAAATATTTTATGATACGATTTTATAGTTTTCCAAAAAAAATCTGATCAAAGTTTATATTAACGAGTCTGAAAATAAGCTTAATAAAATGATATATATTCAAAAGTAATGTCCGTTTTTCTGGACGTGGTTTCAACGTTATTTCTATATGTGTATACATATATAAATAATATTTCAAATTATATTATAAAGTTGGAAAAACTTAGATTTTGATATATCGTATTTTAATAAGCAATACATAGGAAAATGTCGTTTCCTATGTCTCTGTTATGTACAAAAATAAGAAAATTATGGAAGAGAGTGCTAAGTGGAAGGAAATGTATGTATTATTATTACAATTTCACCAAATATGTAATTAACCGAAACTGTTATATACAAGCAACTTATATATATGCAAGTTCGAAATGATGTTAATTGTCTCAAATCACACGCCACGTCAATGTAAAATATTCCATCAGTACGTAAAGATGTGCAGCAAATTTAATTTTAATTCATGAAAATTCGACTCTGAATTTTTGCTGTCTGAAATTAATATTAATCCACATTTGTGACGAGATCGAGAGGTAACGAAATTATTCACCAGGCCACGTACATCTTAGAATACAATACAAAGGGTGGTCAAGTTTGATCCGGACCTTACTTCTCCCTCGAAACATTATAAAAAGACACAGATTTAAACATGCACATATACTTTTTAATATCTACATATGTAACATCAGATAGATCTCTTTAGGGAGACTTTTTAAGTACTGAAAAATATCGAGCAGATCCATTATATTGTAAGTTAATCGTTTATATTTAGCACTTATACCTCACACAGTTACACTTTACCCGAGACACGTCTTGGGAAGATCCTTAGAACGTTCAGAGAATATATAGGGATGTAAACCTAGAGGTCTATGCTGTATGAAACCGTTTATCAACGTGCTGGGAAATAAGCAAAATTCGGATCAAACACGAGTTCGGTTACTCTTGCGCAGTTCCTATACATATAATACAAGTAACAAATATATTCATGACCTCTGAATTCTTCTAAGATATTAATATACGCGTGAAAGTATCGCTTATAACGAAAAGGGATAGAGCGCACGCGATCGAGAAACCCGCGCTCTCCCGCCTTACTCCGACTTACTTGAACCTATCGCGATCTCCTGGAAAGTCGCGATGGCACTGTCGGTCCCAGGTCGACACGGTGGGACAACGCTTCGACAACGGGAGAATAAAATGTCCGGGTCCCGACTTGGGAGGAGGTCCCGCTGGATGAAGACTAAGGGCGAGATCGCAGCGGATCACACGAGGAGCTCCTTGAGGAAGTCCTCGGCAAGCAAGTCCTACAAGTAGTCATCGACGCGTTCGCTCTCGTCCGGTGGGCTAGGCTCGCTCACGCTCAGAATCGGCAGGCCGAAGTGTTGGACCTCGATGCTCGACTCCGTAGTTGCCTCGGTTGCCCGTCTCGCGTAGTCGCAACTCTTTGTATGCCGCTCGACGTCCGCGCGCCGGTGATAGTGATGGTGCCGTGGCAGACGAGTGATATCAGACTCGTACGATCGTCGATAACACCTACGGGATTTCCGTGGAATCAGTCGACGTTGATCTAATTCTAGAATCTAATTTCGACTCAGATCAGTTCTCCTTTATATTCGGCACGTCTCTTTCTTTTAATTTAAATCTTATAATTTAAAGTGAAAATAAGTGAGATAGGACGGAATAATAAAAAAAAATGTTAAAACATTTTTTTCGTAAATTGCTAAAAGTTAAAATTTTATACGACATCTGAAAAGCAATTAGAAATATGATTTCTAAATTACGAAATCATTATTAGACAATAATATTACTGTAATAAAAAGGTGAGAATTTTTATAATACTTTTATAATTATAATCATATTTTTGTAATTATATGCTATATATACGTATTTTGATGTAGTGGAATGAATTATTCCAAATTTATTATTTTTAACAAAAATTTTAATTCATTACTTCTGCACATTATATATATATATTTTTTTTTTCTTCATACATAATATCTACATAGTAATAAATTTGAAGATTTATTTTTTGTTGTTATTTAATATATTCACCAACATTTTCGGATCCTCTAAATATATATTATTAAACAATTTTAAAAAATGCATAATCAAATAGAGTTCGATCTGCAATTGATTGAAAATGATGTATTTGAAATTTATCCATACATTTGTCATTAATGCAATTTACAAAACATGTATTATAACTATATTATGTAGTCTAAATGTGTCAAAAAAATGGTCATAAAAGAATCTTGAAAACTTGATTATATATATATTTATATATACTTAATTTATACATACATATGCACGTGCTGGTACTGTCGACCTTGCACAAGGTTCGACATACCATCGGGTCGTTATTTTTCAACAGATAGGGAAGATATTTGTGGGGCAAGACGACGTCATCGACAACGCTGTATTTATGACCGACAGCTTCAGGGAAACACTTTAGATTATAAATACCGAGCGTTTGTTGGATATTCACAAGGTGATGCATTTTACAAACATACGGATCGTAGATACTTTTCAATTATCGCGGTGATATGTCGAAGTTGTCAGCTGAATCACTAATACATTTAACTGTAAATCTTTATCGAGAACGAAGAGGAGTCAAAGTTCGACGGCTACCGATGGCCTTCGTGTTCTTAGATCAGAGTCGAATGAAACCAAGGATCTTTACCGCTCGTCCATGGAAGCAGGCTGTCGCATTGGGCATCTGACGTACTCGTGGCTTCCGCCGGTGCGCCATCCCCCAAAACGTCTGGTGACTAACGACGAAGATGCTACCGGGGAGTCTCTGAAACATAAATGTGATCGTCCTTGATGATGACGGAGATTTCGATATTTCCGCGTTCTGTGCAACTTGTGGAGTAGCATTTACACATCATGTGCGATATTTACACTTGTACGTATATCAAAACTTGCGATTTAATGTTATCTCAGCAAATATGCCGACGGCAAAGTTACAAACTACTACTATAAAATCAAATTCAACGTTGAAGTTGATCGACAAGTAAAGCCGATAAATGTATTCACGTATCGTACGTTTAATTTGCATCTACAAAAGATCTATTTTAGTTTCTTTAAATCTTCACTATTTCATGTGGCGATCAAAAATAAATTGCTGACAAAATGCAATCACTGATTAATTATCGAAAGTAAAAATCTGTTATTATTTATATATACTGTCAGAAATTGAAATTACAACATCAATAAATAGACATCTGATTATCATTCATGTATTATCACCTATGTAGGTGTCCCATCGATACCGATCGGGTCATTATCGATGTTACATAAAGTTTTAATTACTTGAAATCTATACAAAATTATAACTTTATGAAACATCGATAATGACCTGATCGGTGTCGAGACGTCTGTTGTAATGTTTTTACTGTTTTATTAATATTATATTTACACTTAGAATGCAATGTCATAGAATGAAATTGGCTGCATTCAGCAGAGAAAACTGATCAGTGTGTACTCAATGATTCTTAATTGATTTCTGCATTTAGATTTAGTAAAGAACTAGGCAACACCCAATCATATTTAAAGAATCATTTACTTAACGCTCACTAATCATTTTCTTTATTAAACGCAATCATTAGATATCTATATGACATATCTACAAAAATGAGGGCTGATTTGATATGAGGGCAAATATATACTTGATGACTATATCAAATATTATATTATAAATCTTGAATTTATTGTAAAATTTGATTTTTTTGAATAAATTGAATGACTGAATCCTTTGAAACTAATTATTTATTCATATTGTTGTTCCCCCGAGAATCATCTTAAAATTTTCTTCTTAGTTGCAATTTTAATTTCCAGCAGTGTATTATTGATTTAATAGATTAAAACAAAATTGATCGGTAATATAATTACTTGCTAATTATAAAAAAAATTAAAATCTGTTATTAAAGTGTATATATTATTAGTTTAGTAGTGCTGTAATTTTCACTTTGATCCTAATCTATAAATAAATGTCTGAGTGCGTTAAACATTACACATCACCCTACTGTGATCATTGTCGCTTGAACTTAAAGCACTAATACTGTTAATATCAAACAGCGTATTCATCCCTGTCCTTCTGATTGCAGCTCTGCGTAAGTTGTGTAAATTTAAAAAAAATTTAAGTAGGTGTTTTGTCAAAGACTGATCAAGATATCGCGTCAATTGCGCCGCGGGAATTTATCCAGGTAACGTTCTCGCTCAAAATAGTGGCTATGCGACGATAGTAATCACTAGATAGAGAATTCTGAATGTCAAGGGAGATAAAGTCGGCGAAGGAAAAATGACGCGCAACTTGCGTAACTACGAACAAAATCAAGCTAAGGACTTGAAAAGGAAGTTTGCGTACCTACACGTACCTCGCATGCACGCGTCGCACTTTCATAATTCATAACTTCATATAGCGGCTGCGTGTAGCGACACGTGTGCATGTAACGTTGACATTATGGAAATGATGTGATGTTAGGAAAAGGAAAGCAGGACGTTCGCCGCGGAGCGTATCTAAACGACGTGCGTGTGCGCGCGATTGTAGAATTTAAACAACCTAAATATATACCCAGGAACGTTCTTGCCGCATGCGAGATCGTTGCTAAATTACACAGTCGCGTTCCAAGAAAAGACATTCCAACTTGGACGGTGCAACACGTTGCCGAAAGGAAACGAAAAGTTGTCACGAGAACAATCACGGCTACCGTGCCATATGGCCGTCATATGTAATATATATATATATATATATGTAATATACATATGAAATGTATATATGAATATATATATGAAAGATATGTAATATATATATGAAATCAAACTCCAATATACAATATATTGACAATAATGAAAAATATATCTTCAAAATATATCTCTGCAATGTTACATTAATTTTAAGTTTGTAAAATATATCATTTTCAATATAAAAAAACAATAGGGAATTATATTTTCATAAATTCTTGAAAATCTCTATGTTTCTGGTAAAAATTTCAAGTATTTTTAGAGCAGTTTATTCCTTCGTTAATTTTTTAAGCAGTTGTTGGATATAGTTACATCATCTGTTTAGTAACTGAGAAGTAAAACTACTCAAGTTTCCAATCGCTTTGCCTATAGTTATGCATAAAAGACTCAAAATTTGTATTCATTTATTAAACAAAAGGGAAATAATAAATGGACATAGTATTGTAAGTTTAATAATAATCTATTACTAGATTACTGTATTATCTGATAATATAACTGGACAGATGTATACGCAAGTTGAACATATTTTTAACAGAAAAACTGCTTCAGCCACATAAAAACTTTCAAGTTCTTGTCCATTTTCAATATTATTATAATAAACGGAAATATAGTAATATTAAATAATAATAACTAAAATATAAATGTCTATATATATATATATATATATATATATATGCATACATTTCTACCAGGATCTAATACTAATTTTTAAATAAAATTAGATACTACAAGATCTGCATTTATATAAAAAAATTTTGTCGCGCGTTATTAATAAAGTAGAAATTAATAATAAAGTAATGTGATGAGCAGCATAAAATAATTTTCAGAACGAAAAGATTTATGATCGCAAAAAGCCACTCGATTTCGTTATCACGATTCATTTGTGATTACTGCTTTCTTTATAATCATCTTACAACTAGATCGAGATAACGGCGAGTCATTATAATGCAGGAAATGAAACGTGCAGATATAGGCAAATAACTGGAAATGGTGGAATTTCTTAGTGGTCTTATATCTAGCATACATAGCTATGCAGTTGATATAGGATTCTAAAATTATGATCGAATTATGACGGAGTGACCGAGATGAAACTGATGCGAGTATTATATTATAACAACTATATTAATTCTCGCTATTGCCTAATGCAACTTTCAGGGTACATATTGGTTTTATTATCGTTTTGTATCGTTGTTGCATTACTCTTTGTGCTATTCCAACTCTGTGTACGGAGCTACGATATATAAATCCAATTTCTACTTTGTGTCTTCAGAGAAGTACGGGTTCATTATCTATTTATGTATGTATTTCTTATGTACATACTTCAAAGCTTTTCCGAACATCCAGCGAATGAAGTGAGCGGTAAAAGGTGGAGGAATTGATCAATTTCACAATTTCTATTTCTGGTTTATGTTTATTACATACAAACAGTAAATGTTTAAGTTATTAAGACTATGCAAAAATAGTAATTAATGTTACATTAAAAATATTTTTCTGTGTGCGATTTGAGTTTTAATATTTAAGGACATCATAAATTTAGATGAATTTCTGAAAGATTGACGTATTTAATGTCAATTTTCTAAATAAACTGACGATTATTTATCGATCGGTCTCATTTTAAACATATACATGTAATTAATAATGTATTAAAATATTATTAATAAAAATAAAGATGTAATGATATAAAGCATAAATGATCTTTTTATATGAGAAGTCAATGTATTGCTAGATTACGCAACTTGAGAAAACTTTTTTTATGTTTTATACACATATATCTAACAAAGTAAGTATACATATAAGATAAGAAATGCACAAGAGGCTAAAAAGAAAAAAAGAAACTATATATGTATATCTAAGTACAGATGTCATAAAATTATTATATATAGTCAATTTGGAAATTTTCTCCATCTAATAATTCGATACGGAAATGAGTTATTACAGCGCGTATTATATTATAATCGCGTTTAAATTCGTATTTCGATATGTTTATACTATTTATATAATAAATTATAAATAAAAATAAATAAATTTAAAATTAAATTATTTATAATTCAATTTAGTGTAATGACCGTCGTAATCAATATTGAAATAAAAATCCACGATCCAATTTACCGTATATTTGTTAAAAAATTTCCGTGCTAAATTGGATATGGTGTAAATATACGTTAGTTTAAAAAAAAACTCGTTATGTCTTCTATTACTGAAAGAATGTAATAAAATTACGTCGGAATAGTTTTTTAATTTGAAACAAAAATAGCTTTCATGGCGGTCTCATCATGTAATACTTTTATCAACATGTAAAATTATTAATTTCTAAATAAAAAACTAAATGATATGACTTTTCAGTAATCATCTTCTTTATTGACACAATGTAGTTAAAATCGATATCAGAGTTCATGAATATAATATTTCAAAAATAGATACAACACACACACGCACACATATATTCTCTCTCTCATTCTCTTTCATTATTTTTCGAAATAGATGATTCATATAATCCTTTGGTTATTAATCTTTTTTACAAGAATCTTCTTTTAAATTTTAAATGCGTTTTAATAGCTAGAGATTTAATCAGATACATTAGCATATATATTAAATAGAAAAGATAATTAAAGAGAGAGAGAGAGAGAGAGAGAGAGAGAGAGAGAGAGGGGGAGAGGGAGAGAGGGAGGGAGGGAGGGAGAGAGAAGCTTATTCAGCATATAAAACATTCTATTCTATTCTCGGGTAACTTTAACTGCTGCCCTTGGCAGTCAAAGGATTAAACATCCCACGCACGTCGTGCATTCTTCAACTAAGACCGATGTAAAGATCGCTAACGATATTATCGCTGATGCTAATCGCTTGATGATAACGTAAGAGTACACGCGGCAGACCGTTGCGAAAAGCGGAAAGGTCGAACGACTGCCAACAGAATGGGTCGCAAAGTAGCGAAGTCATTTACATGCGAGGCGCGGGTCAAGTGGGCATCGCCTACTGAAATTGTGATCGATAGCCAGCCGGCCGGCCGACCGCGCGCGGCCAAGCCGTGCATCGGCTTGCATCGGCGGATCGAACGGAAGCCCGTCGCGTTCCCGCAACAATGTATCGCCGCGTTTAAATTCCCCGGACCGTCATTATCGCTCGCTCGAGGGGCCAGAGCGCACCTGACGCGAGCTACGGCCAGGTCGATGCGTTTACCCTGTGTAAGTCGCACCACCCGGCGATCTGCATTTCTAACAACTATATAGATCGCTCCGAGTAGTATCGGCAGCAAAACTGGCCATAGGATAAATTAAAGTGGAGATGCTGGTATCGATGTCAATTACTTCAAGATTGTTGAGCCTGAATTTTGAAAAGTTTAATCTATAAGGGATAATTACGTTCAAATACTCATTTAAAAATTGTGAAAATAGATTTTGTACTCTTGAAAAAAAAAGAACAGAAAAAATTACGTAACGTTACGTAGAGATTTCCTGATAATATACAGAATTTCGATGTAATTTCTTCCGCATATTTCATCAATGTAATTATATTATCAAAAAATTCTATCACATCATCTCTTTCTCTATATTCTCTGCATTAACACGCATTATATTTATATTTCAAAAAAAAGTTAGCATGACAACTGATATTTTAAG